GGAGACAATTGTTGCAGCTCCTGTGTCACTGGACCCGTGTCCTTTGTGTGCATATAGTGCACTGACCAAGGATGCTGCTTCTGACGGTGCGTGGCACTTTCAGTGCACCCTCTTCACCAGCACTATCATTCAGAGACATCACTTCCTCTGAGCTCTTCCTTGTCCATTGGCCAGCTTTCACATGCCCATGAAACCATTGAAAGTAGTGTGATTGAGTTATTGTTACTGCCTGTTATAGGGGTCTTCAGAAAACTCATGGAAAATTTCCTTTTTTCCACTCTTGTGATCTCTTGTTAGCAGAATCTTTATAAGTCCACTAGTCTTTGTACATCTGTGAATGATCCCCTGCAGCATTATATGTAGTAAATATTCCCAGCAATACCCAGCCCACTGCCATTGAGTAGATAATTCTAGTGAGCCTATAGGAAGACAGGGTATCATTGCTCCATAAGGTTGTAGACTTAAACAGTGGCTTCAGGGGAGGAAAGCGTGGCTGAGGATCTGTTCCTGCAAAGAGTGTAGGCTAGGAAGCCCTAGGGACAGTTGTATTTTGTCGCACGAACTCACTGGGAGTCAGAATCCACCTACAGCACTCACCATCTAAAGCCAAAAACAGTCCAAAGGGAGAGAAATCAAGGCACAAAGGACCGCACTGAGATGACGATAGGCCTGGAAATGATGTGTTTGGGGTGGTGAGAATTGGGGCTCAAAACACAGCATTTGTTTAAAGCCTGGGCATCGAAATAGCACTAGTTCCGTACTAGAGAGTAAGAGAACGGAGGAAAAGCTCCCCCTTCTACTCATATTATTTAAAGATTACCTGGTCATTAAACTCTTAAAATTTTAATAATGAAACGTTCTAACTACACTGTTTCATGCTTTTGAATTTCACTTCATGGTGCCCTGGGTCTCATTTGCCCCTTGACTGCTCCTCACCGGTCTTGGAAGGCAAGGTTGGAAGGCAAAGCTTTAGGAGGCAAAATGTGCCTCCACCACCCAGTACCCTTGACTAAGACTTACTTGGACTTCAGTTCCCCCCTCCTCCCCAGACCCTGGGGTAAAACAACACTCAGGGTCAGCCTCCAAATAGGTCGTGCCTGTAGGAGCTGAGGTAAGTCTCTCTCCTCCCTAGAGCCGGTGTCCCTTCGGAAAACGAACGACTTCCCTTCATCGCTGTCATCAGGAATCTTTCTGGTGAGTCGCCTCTGACCCTTTGCAAGAAGAACTGTGCTCCGCAGGATTTCCAGTGACCCGACTTCTCAGAGGTGGACTAGCGGGCCTTTCTTCGGAAGCTTCTCTGGGTGGGCTTGTGTCCCCAGCCTGGTGATTAGCCGTCTGGGGGTCTCTACTAGCTTGGTCTCATACGCTGAGCAGCCTCTCAGGGAAACAGTGGCAGAATTAAAGCCAACTTATAAAACGAGGCCACTCACTGGGCCAGGTGGGGGGTGGGGGGTGGAGAGGAGATGAGTGCCAATTAGTGGAATCCTCTTCCCCTGCCAAAGGTCACCACTCTCTGCTCAGGGTCCTCTGGTCCTTGGAGCCCTGAGATCAAAGCTCCGCCAGACGGTTAGTGTGAGGGGGAAAATCTGGCCCAAGAGAGCTGCCAGAGACGACGCTTTTTCTGGGAAAACTGCCAGGACTGTGTTAGACAGGCCCACCATCCACTCCTCGGGGGTCCTGGGCTTTTGATAATCTGAACTTCTCCTTTATAAAAGATGGTGCTGGTGGCACGGTGGTTGAAGCACTCAGCTGCCAATCCAAGGTCTGTCGCTCGTTCCCCCAAAATGTTCCTTGTGAGGACAGTGGGGCAGCCTGTTTCCATTAAAATGAGCAGCCTTGGCAACCCTGTGGAACCGTTCTCCTAGGAAGTGACTGGGGTGGTGTGGGTGTGGGGTAGGGGTAGGGGTAGGAGCCCTGGTCGTATAGTATAGTAGGCTCCGCCTGGAACTTCAAATGCCACAGTGTTAGCAGTTTGAAGCCACCTGCCATCCCTCAGGGAAAAGAGGAGGCTTTCTACTGCCCTAAGATGTCCAGTCTCGGAAACTCTCTGTCCTAGAGGGTCAGCAGATGGCAGTGAGGCTGTCTGGGGTTGGGGCATGCGGCCACAAGGGCACTCTATGCTACCATGTTGCTGACCTTCATGCCTGAAGTTAGCTGCTGCTGCCTTTGCGTTTCTCTCACCAGAGACCGATGCAAGATGTGCAGGGAAAGAGGCCGTAAAGGTCTCCCTGATTCAAACCAAAACAACACAAACTCTTATCACCTCACTTGCCGTGTTGTTCTTGGAGCTGTTTGCTTCCTGTGGCATCTTCCAAGTCCCACTTTCTCTCAAACGTACTCGAACCACATCCCTCAAAGGTCAGATCCCCACTGCTCTGTGCCACCTTAACCCCTGCAGTGCCAACAATCCTGAAGAAAGCCTTGTTGTCGGAAGCGTCATCATGAGTCAGCGGTGGCTTGATGGCAACTCTGAGCAACAGCACCTCTGCCTGTGACCTCAGACTGTCTCAGAGGCCCGAGGGACACTTCCCACTCCCTCGCTTTGCATAGGAGCAAAGCTGCCGAGCAAAGGAGATTGACTGATATGCTCAAGATTCCAGAGAGGCCAAACTCAGGTCAAGTCTCTCACCCAGGTGAGCAAAATGTCTCAGTAACCTTGAGAACGAGACATTGAGAAACCTTTTGCTAGATAAAGTAAGCTTCTTAAACAATTCCCCCAAAGAGACGAGACTGTTCCTTTAAAAAAAAAAAAAAAGTGGAAAACAGGCAGTGGGAGAGGAACTAGAATGGTACGCTGATGGAACCAGCCCGGGACTGTTGGACGGGGCATGGACGCTGCAAGCCCAGGGAGAGAGAAGGGGGCCACGCCTCCCTCAGATGTATCATTCTTTACACATCAGATACCATCAGGAGCAAATATGTGTCGAATACCAGGTATTCTTTTGTATGCTATTAGAAACGGGCGGTGACAATTCTAGCACTGTGATCAAGCACTTCGAGGCTCCTGTTGGTGATATCCATTCACACTACAGGCCGACCTCAGAGATGTTAGGGATATGGTTCCATACCAGAGGAGTGAAGCATAAATATTGCAATAAAGCAAGTCACGACTTCTTTTGGAGGGGCCAGGGGTAGTTACCAGGGCATATAAAAGTTGTGTTGACACTATACTGTAGTATAGGGTAACACTAAGTGTGTAGCAGCATTGTGGAAACATTTGAAATATTGTGAGAAGGACCAACATACAGCAGAGATACCAAATGAGCGCATGTCGTTGGAAAACGGCCCCAATCGACTTGCTCCACACAGGCTTGCCACGAATCCTCCATTTATTTAAGAAAAAGAGAAAAACATGGATCTGTGAAATAGGAGAATGGGAAAATTGGTAAAACAGGGAGTGCCTGTTTGATCCTCTCCAGTGGGTTGGTGTGGTCAGCCGCGGCAAGGGGACATGGAGAACGGGCTTCAGCTACACAGGGGCTTTAGAATTTGAACCTGGGACTGTCAACCAAAAGGTTGGCAGTTCAAACTCACCAGGTGCTTTTTGGGAGAAAGATGAGGCTGTCTGCTCCCATGCAGATGTTCAGCTTGGGAAAGAGGACTTGGAGCCCACTCGATGACACTGGGTTGGGTTTGGTTAGAGCCCTGCTGCCAAGCAGCCTTGGTAGTGCCGTGGTTAAAGTGAACAGCTGTTTAGGGGCCATCGGTTTGAACCAGACACTCTGTGGGCCAGAGATGGTGCAGTCTGCAGACATAAAGATCCCAGCCGTGGTAAGCCCAGGGGGCACTTGTACTCTGCCCTAGAAGGTCCCCAGGAGTCAAAATCGACTGGACTGCAGTGGGTTTGGATTTGCTCTCGGCCGCCGTGGGAGATATCCATCCAGTCCTGGGTTCCTGTGAGGAAGCCACGGTACTCCATGTTCCTTCGTAAACCAAAATCTTCCCTGAAGTAAACAAAGAAACATGGAGATTGCTTATTGGCCCCGAGCAGGCCATTTCCTGAAAACAAGTCTGATGCTGAACTGTGTCTAACTGCAAACATGTGGTGGTGGTCGGGTGCCGGGGTACTCTTGCTGTTGCCCTTTAGACCATTAATTCCGAGAAAGCACCTCTCACCACGCCATCAGTCTAAACTGTTGGCCTAAGGAAGTAAATGAATAGCGTCCCTGGAGACTTATCAGGTGAGGAGGAAGGAGAAGGCTGCTAGACAGGGGACGACAGAAGTAGTAAGGCTGGCTTTTGTTTTTGTTTGAAAAACCTCTTGTCGGCCCCTGGGTGGGAACAGCTTTCCTGCCATGCAGCCTGCATTGGAACGCGGGCTGCTGCAGATGCAGTTCGGTTAAGATTTAGCATTCTATCATCTGATCTCCCTTAGGCTCCATTTGAATTTGTTCTAGTTTTTAATGTTTTCTTCTTTCTTGTTCGATTGAGGTTTTTATCTGTTTTACTTTATTCTTGTTGTCAGTTTGGGTTTTTGTTGTTGTTGTTTTTAATGTTTTTTCTGTATATGAAATCTAGCAGAGGTAAATCTATATAGTAATTGCATTAATGGTTCCTTGCGGGTATGGGGGGCTGAGGAGCTGGGCATAAGTGGGGAGCTAATAAAGATGAGGACAAGAATAAAGAAAATGTTATAAAATGAATTGTAGTGATGATTGTACAACTTTTCTTGGTTTGACTGGACTATCGAATTGTTCGATATGCGAATTACGTGCCAAAAAACTGTTGAAATAAAAAAAGAACACCTTCATGCTATCTGGAAACTACTTTTAAGGTATAGATCAAGTTCCTTTTTTTAATCAGCCTAAATATTCTCTTTCAATGCTCCCTCTCCATGAAACCAACTTGAATTCTTTTCCTTCATAAGTCTGATCATAGCACATTCCTTAGGAATTTCCAACAGAATCAATACTGTAGGGAAAAAATTTTTTTATTTTCTAAAGACATTACCTTGATAGGCAAAAAAAAAAAAAAAAAAAAGCATGTTTTTTCCAATTTCATTCAGAAATACATTAAAAAAATACATAGACCAATATGGCCTGCTCCAACATATATTTAACATGGTAAATATAAGGAATAAATTGTTTGAATATAAATATCTATAAAAAATAAGTACATCAAAATTCAATCCAGCCTCTTCCATTAACCAGTTACATCAAGGAAAATAATATTACTGCTTTAAAACACAACCCACATTGACTTCACGTTCAAGGTCTCTCACGAACAACCCTACACTGCTGTGTTTCCACAAGTCAGGGCAAAGGGAAACACCCGGTTCCATGATCTTTGCTTTTATGGATCAGAGCTTGTAGATGACCATGAAAACATTCTCTCTACCACTGACACCTTGGACCAGACTCCTATGAGGCTAGACATAGCAGGGGGTTATACAGAAAGGGCGTGGCAGGAGGGGCCAAGTTTAGAGAGGCAAAACCAGGCGGTGACATACATTTCTACCAGAGTGCAATACAGGTGAGGTAGACCGAAACACATCCCGATTTACAGTAGAGCAGTTTCTTTCAGTTTTGCATTTTTATGAATGAAAACAAAACAAAAACCCAAGTCTTTAATTTTTTTTCTTTTTCCACTCGAGTCTCTGTCCTTCAAGTGTTTTAGATGTGTGCATCCCTTAGAAAATGCGTGCATGGGGCTTTGCAGTTTCTCCCTGAAACGTGCCCGGCGCCTGAGTCAGACACAAACACTGCCTCCCGGGCTCTTCAGAAACCCCACCCCGGGGTGGCATCTCCTCGCCTCCCTCTGGGGGTGCTGCCCTTCTTGCGCATGTCACTTGGTCCCACTGCTTTCTCTGAGTCGCCACCATCATGCCAAACGAGGCGGGGCGGGCCCAGTTACCACCCTGGAAGCTAACAAAGGTGGATCCATCGGAGGGGCCTTCCTTAGCCTTTCTTGGAAAGTTGGGCCTTGGCGAATCTGGAGCAAGGAAGGATGCGAGCAAGGAAGATGCTCCCGCCTGGACCCCGGCTGTCGCGGCGAGGGTGTGGCCCCGGCCCGTGCCCAGGGGACCGATCATCAGTGCGTGCGGTTGTGGGTCACTTTCTTCTCTCTGCGGAGTTCTGCTTTCAGCTTCGCGATCCGGAAAGACGCCTTGATGCTGTTGCTGACGGCCTCCAACCTAGGAAAGCAAGACAAGAGAAAACAAATGGTATAAAATTAACACCACTTCTGGCCAAAGAAACGTCTAAAATTAGAACGGGGTGCAAACCAATCTAAATCTGGTTCCTGAACGTTCACCACCGACCGCAACACCGACCTCAAGTCGTATCTGTTACCACTATGAAAATAAAGGCTGGCCCTAACAAAACCGTTAGGAGCGTGCAGGAGGGGAATGGTCCTACCTAAGGGGAACTGGGCATTAGACACCGTTTTCAACGAAGCCAAAGGTGTGCTCTTCTGCAGCCCCTGCCCAGTGGTCAACACCACGGCCTCTGAACGAGAAACTCAGCACGGGTTCCAAATGCCCATGAGAGTCTCCTAAGTAGGTGAGGTCGGGAGTACCAGGAGGAATGGAAGTTTGCTTACAGGAAAAATGCCCCCCACCCCCACCCCTCTGGGACTGCTGTCAGGTAAGCATTAGACAGCTAACTGCAAGGTTGGCACTTCAACCCTGCCAGTCACTCCAGGGAGAATGGGGAGGTCACATGTTCCCGTAAAGACTGATAGCCCCAGAGACCCTATCTGGGGTCACTATGAGTCGGAATCAAATGGACAACAGTGGGTTTTCAGTTGGCTCGTAGGAAAAAGAGGAAGTATGCATAGGAGACCCAAAGCAAACGTTTTGTAGCAATTAAGAAATGTCGTGGGGGCCTTTTTCTTCCCCCGCCTTTTTGTGAGCGAAGGGAAGAAGAAAAAACGGCTGGCGCCGGCAAAAATGATCAACCTACACAAACTAATAAAAGGAAGTCATGTCTAAGGGCGTTTGACATCATCTTGTGGTCTGGGGAAGCCTTTCTGGCTTAGACCATCTACACGGACACAGAGCTGGCAGGTGTCAGTCACCGAGAGGGAAGACGCCCCACAATCAGAAGTAAACAGCTCAGAAGGCCCAGCTCACTGCCAGCCCCAGGCTCAGGGCAGTTTGAACAGAGAACTTCGTGCCACTAGATTTCTAAGAAAAGTTCCTATGATCCATCTGCTACAGATGTGAGAACAGGTTCCTCCCTTGGTCTTATGAATCCCAAAATATTTACAGCCTGGAAGGTTCATCACCGGAGACTGCTCATAACAGCCCTGTGGTGTTGCTTAATCCAGATCCCTCTGCCTCTGACTAACTAGGAAACCAAAAAGCTTGTTGGAACGGCACTGGCTTTCCACCAAATCGCTCTCCCTGTTTAAAAAACAAGAGCAATCATACCTCCCCTCCCAAATGCAAGTTCTAAAGCTCGTCAGTCCTGCCTAACAACTTCCCTCTAGCCACACGAATAACTGATCCTTCAAGACTTAGAGGAACTTGGTGGCATGATGGGGAGAGTTTCCAAATGTTTGTGGAGAAACAGAATGAAAAGATAATGGAATGTTCCGGCAAATCTGCCGACGCCCCCTTGCACGTGGCATTACCAGGAAAAAAAGTGGGGGAATGGGTAGGAAAGAGGGAACCGATTACATGGAACTGTGTGTGACCTCCTCCCTGGGGGACAGACAACCGAAAAGTGGATGAAGGGAGACGTCGGACTGGGCAAGATATGACAAAATACCCATTTATAAACTATCAAGGGCTCATGAGGGAGGGGGGAGCGGGGAGGGAGGGGAAAAATGAGGACCTAATGTCGGGGGTTTAAATGGAGAGAAAACGTCTTGAGAAACGATGTACAAATGCGCTTTACACAATTGATGTGTGTATGGATTGGGATAACAGTTGTATGAGCCCCTAATAAAATGTTAAAAAAGAAAAAAAAAAGTGGGGGGAGGGGGGGCAGCTCGAAGAGAAAGTGGTAAATATATTGACTCCACTCAGAGAGGCAAAGGGGGGGCGGTGAGCAAATGAAGTGTTTCTGGATAGACCTTGCTCTGAAAAATATCCTTTTTGACTGCGTGGGCAGTGGACAGCCGTTTGCTTCCAAGGTCTCTAAGCAAAGGCTTGAGAAGGATGCCTTTGTTCTTTCTCCTCTACAGAACAGGGAGATCCCCCTGTTTTATTGCCTTGAAGCCAATCCCCACCAAGGAAAGCATGGCTGCGAGGGGGGGTGGGGGCGGTACGTCGGCTCTTAGGCATTGCTGACTTCGCATGGTGCTTGGTCGCATTCTCTTACCTTCTTAGTTTTCTTCTTTTCACAAGCTGCTGCTGAATGCACTTCTCCCCGAGTTCGGCACAGTCCTTTTGTTTCTTATGGCCATGCCAGACTTCCTCCATGGTGTCCTGGGCCCTGTTAAGATACACAGAGAGAAAGAAATGATATCTTTGACTTGTACCTAGATCTTTCTGGAAGAGGCAACATTCCAGTAAGAGGAAGGCTGGGAGGCTGACCGAGAAGCAGAAGTGTTTCTGCTCACCTGAGTTCTTTTCCTGCTTGGCAGAATTTCCAGCACTTCTTGTCTCTTTGGCTGGTACATTGGCATCTCTTCCTGGGGTCTGTTGCCTTTGTGGCCAACACATCCTTTAAGGATCGCTTTGACCTAGAAGGGCTCCCGAGTCCATAGGGAACAATGTGCCTATTGTGAGAGAGAGAGAAACAACAGACAGAAGATAATTAAGAAGTCTTCAAAACGGTACTTTCGTCGGGCACGCACATTCTCTTGGGGACCCCGTGCCCAGGGCTCAGCAGCAGCACAGCTTAGGTGGGAAGCGCGGCACAATCAGGGACACAGACCTTCCAGTGGCCTGAGCGTGTGCAGCCAACCAGGAGAAAGCCACTTTTCTGCATTCAATGGCATTGCACTTCAGCCCTTAACAAGGTTCAACTTCTACTCTGCACGCCCACAACATTACTTTGTGTTCAAAAGGATGGTATGCTTTGGTGCCTGTTTTATGCTGTCTGCCTTGTGTTCTGTTTCTAACGTCCTAGTCCGTTATGAGTGAGGTGGTGGTGGTGGTGACTGGACGAGAGCGAGGCTGCCAGGTAAAACCACTTCTCACAAGAGATGAAAGCCCTCTTTCTGATTAAGACCACATCTGAGCCTGTGAAAACTGCATGCTGAGGCAAGGAGAGTCGACACGGCACCGGGTACCTGGCTCACAACCATGTCAGTAGCTTTCTTCTGCAGTTCAGGGTTGTGTGTACCTTCGAATCCATTTGGGGCTGTGTGTAGATTAGAATCCATTCTGACTCAACGTGACCCTTGAGGGCAGAGTACAATGGCCCCGTCGGGTTTCTTTGGGAAACAGAGGGCCTCCTCCTCCCTCTCCCACAGAGTGGCGGTGGGGGTTCAATCTGCTGACCTCTCAGTTATCAGCCAAGTGCTTAAGCAATGCGCTACCAGGGTTTCGTTCCTGCAGGTTAGCTATAGCTTGTGTCTGTAAAAGGACTCTTTTCCCAGAAGGCACGCCAATAATTCCCAATGGGCCCCTCCTGACCCTCACCTAAGGAACAAAATCTCCGGGTTGGTAATAGCCCTTTACTAAGTATTATGTACTCAGTCCATCTGGTGCGGCATCTTTGGATTGGCATCTGGTCAGCCGTTGCCCTCATGAGCATCTGGTAGACACCATGTAGATGAGGTGGTTTTCACAGGGAAAAAGTCGAGGACTGTCTCGCCAGCATTGCCAGAGAAAGCTACCGCACGCTTTTCTTTCTCTGTCTTCATTGTTGGTCTTCTGGGGTGTGGGGTAGGGCAGGCAGAGGGAGCACGGAACCCCAGCTTCTAGTGCTAGCTCTGCCACAAACGCACTCCTGCTTAAGTGACTGATATTTGGGGTGGGAGTGGTGGGGGAGGTGTGGGGGGGGCATTGGGTTAGCTTTTTCTCTAAATGAAGTGATTGAATTGAACTCTATAATCCTTGCTACCTCTCCAGACAGGACCCTCCCAGCATGGACTAACCCACATATGGCCTCAGCACCTGGTCCCAGTGCCCCTGAAAGCACCTTCCCTGGAGCCCCACTCACAGTGCTGTGTACCCTTTCCTTCCACCCGGCGGCAGTAGGTGAAGCCCGTCATCTCTGTTGCTGAAGACCAAGCTGTTCTGTCATTTTCAGCAACAGGGAGGACCTGCCCACCCCACTGGGGCATTCTCCTGTGTCAGAACTGCAGCCTTCCCAAGAGCAAGCTACAGGCTCTCCAGAAAAGTCACTCTCCTCCCTGCCTTTGAGCGCCTGCGAAGGCAGCTAAGGAATGACTAGCCTTAGGATGCCCTCTAGAGACTCACTGGGGAGTGTTGATCCAGATGATGTCAAGGTGACAGAAGTAGACACACTCTTTATCCATCAAGGAGGAGCAGGAGCAGCGCTTGGAGCGGTGGGGCCTCCAGGGTGCACTAGGGGAGGGGCTTCCCCCTCCGTTCTCCGCATCCGTGCTGAGCTCTGCGCCCAGGACAGCTGGAGAGAGAGAGAGAGAGAGCAGGTCAGGGGGGGATCGGAAAGCACTCCCTCGGAGACACACCAGGTCACGGTAGTTGCACCAGAATTAGCAGAGTGGACAAAAGCAGACAAAGTAGACAGCCTGTCTTTAGCAAGAAGCACAAGCAGCCCCAACAGGTCTCTAAGGTTTTACGTTCTAACACAATTTTACCTTTACCCTCAGTGCTTTCTTTACCTGCAGGAAGATTATATAAAGACAGGGGAGAGAAACACCTGAGATGGGACTTGCCAGCCCTCTTGACGCTGTCTGGAAGTTTCTGGAAATTCTACCTGTTGGGAATTCAGCTTGGGCTCTCTACAAGGTGCTGAGAAGGACCACACAACCCAGAAGGGCTTACAATTGGCTGATGGTCAAAATCCTAAAAAATAAGTGCACCCCACCACCTACTGGTTTGAGAGCCCTGTGCCCAGTTGGCATGCCCTTCTGGTTAGGTAGGCATCCATTACTTTGCACCTGAAGGTAAGGGGTACCTGGATGAGCTATAATTCTCTACACGGAGGGCAAGGACTTTGGAGAGACAGACGATCAGCAATCAGCGCAAGAGGAGGAATTAATCCTCCAGTAGTCATTTCACACAGTACATCCCACAGAAAGTGCAGCAGCTAAGGCGAAGCTGCAAAGCAGCTCTGGGGACCTAGTCAAGGTTCCCTGATGGACGACTACAGCCTCCCGGGAGGACCAGGTCCGTATGGGAGCCTCCCCCACCCCTCCTCGCCGCAGCACCCTGTCTTCAACCAACTCCCTGGGACTAGCAATCACAGCTTCTCTGCCCAGTTTTGTACAGTTTCAAATGAGCACTCACATTCCAGGATTCCTTCCCCTGATATCCCTTCTCTTTACTCTGGGTCAAGAAAAGACACACACAAAAAATGTACATGGACCCCCAAAGGGGGCATGGGCAGATGCACACATACTATCTAATCCGTGAGTAGCCCCAGTCTTCCCTCGCTCCCCTCCCAAGACAGGTGAACACAACTGAGAATACAGTCGGCACTGCTTCCAGTGCCAAAAACCTGCCATAAGAAATCTAAAGTCAATAATGAAACATTTTAAAGAAAACAGCAGCTCTCATCCAGAAAGCACTTGAGTGGGAGCCGTGGGGGCGGAGGGGGGGGCAGGCAGGGAGGAGGGTGTTTTATTAAACAAATTGTTCTGCAGGTGATTTTATTGCTGGTATATTACTGGAATGTCTTGGACAAACTCCCGTGGCTTCAAGCTAAAACATTTAAATATTTTTACACAATCACACACTATTAAAGAAGTGTTTGAATAAGATCTATTTCTACCTAATTCTCTATATCCTATATACCTGTATGAGCCCAGAATGCCAAGGCACATTTGGTTAAACTATATATTTTTTGTTTTTGTTTTTTCCCTCTTTTTGTATTATTACAAGGAAGGAACTATCCTAGTCAAAGATAATCACGGTATCATTATGGTTATACAATTGATATTATATAAAATCCTATAGGAGCAATTGCATTCAATAGATACATTGACTTTTTCCATGCAAATGCTAAGTAGTTTTCAACCCCAGGCACTTGATCTCCGAGCTTCAGGAATAAAAAGAAAGGGGAAACGGCGGCAAGGAAAGTGTTCAGAAGGACATTCACATCGCGCGATGTACCAGCCGACATGCCTACCTGTGCCAGGAGCTCCGTGGAAAAGCACCAACAGCAGAGAGACGACCACAGGGAAATAATCCATTCTGGAAGAAGGACCAAAGACCTGTTCTGCGAACTAAACAACAAGTTTTAAAAAACAAAAACAAACTTCAGTTCTCGCCAAGTGTCTGTGGCTGTTCGGCTCCCAGAGTGAGCTTTCCGGGAGAAAAGGTTTGGGAGCGCTGGCTTGCAGACCCGCGGGCGCTGCGATCCGGCTCGGCTCTGGCTCAGCTGGGCGGCGCGGCTGCAGGAGCGCGTCTGACTTGGGAGCGCTGGCCGGCGGCTTTTTATAGGGAACCCCTATAGAGTGGGGGTAAACAGCTCGAACTTTATGCCAGCCTCAGACAATGTTTTTGTGTGATTAGTCACCGAGAGGCAACGTGCAGCCGGAGATAAGGCTCGGCTCGAGAGGAAATCACTGCTAACTTCAGAGGCAGACGCCGTCTGACAATTCAGGGGCAGGGCTAAGAAAAAAGAAAATAGCCATTGGAGACCTTTGGAAAACCGGCCCGTGCAGTCCTGGAGCCGACTTCCCCTTCGCCAGCTGCCAGCCTGAGTTCAAGAACCAGAAGGGGCACTCCAGAAAAAAAGTCATACCATTGGTATGACAAGTATGAGCTGCAGTTTAAATAGATTGTATTGTTGCGTGCGGGGATTTTTTTTTTAATTGTCGCTCACTTGAATTTCCTTTTATGTCGCTTAGATTGCTTAGTCTTGGTCAAACACGAGAACGCGCTATTCTCCCCCCTCCCGCCCCCTCTCCCCCTACTCAGGATCAAATGATTTGGGCAGATCGATCTACTTTCGCTTAATTCAAGCCCCTTGGTCCCAAGTCTGTTGTGGTTTGCTTCCTTGCTGAAGTTCAATGTGCCCACAGAAGAGAGAGACTGAGACAGAGAGATCCCTCAGGCAAGGAAAGGTGGTGCAGGAGAGAAAAGGTAGAGCCCTTCAGACACATGCACCAGGCTTTCGTTTTACAGCTGAGAAGCCCCCTGAGCGGCTGCTCTGCCCACTCCCCGCGGGCCGCTGTCAGCGCCGCTGCCCGGAGTAATGCCCGGCGTGCGCGCCAGGGGGAGACGGAGAGCTGCGGGGGCTGGTGTTCCATGGGGAGAAACAGCCTTGGTTTCAAAGTGGCAGGCAGGACCACCACTTGCGGTGAAGACACAGGCAAGCGGGGCTCAGGGGTGGCGCCTGGCACAGGAGAGGGGCACCCCTCAGAATATTGCTTTCACACAGGTACTCCCCCACCCCACCCCCCTCCCCATTTAGCTTTGTCAGATGGGGGCAAAGCCGGTGTTCTCGTGCGTGGTTCTCCAGGTAGTATGTAGGACGACATGCCGGTGCTGAATCAGGGTATCAGATAATTCCTCCCATTTAATAACATGTGTACATTTTCAAAGCAATTTCCGGTCTGTTTAACTTTGACATACCCCGACAGCAGTTACTGCAGAGGTGAAAGCATGCTCTGAAATGTACACAGGGCCATCAATGTCAGATAGGGGTGCTGCCAGGGGAGGACGCTGGGGCGTCTGCACTGCAGGTGCTGTCCCCAGAGTGCTCACGGCAGTGGCCTTCGACTCCCTATCAGGAATCCAGACCTCTTTCATCTCTGCTCCTACATTAAGAGGGTTCCCCCATCGGCAAGAAGAAGGGGTCGTGTTCACATGAAATCTCAATGGCCTTGCCGCTTCATAGCCACCCATAGAGTCCACCATCAAATAGCTACTTCCTCAGCTTCCCCTCGGCCTTGACTTCCACGTTAGGGGATAGGAGTCAAATGTGGACCCATATTCTGAGATGTGACCACAGGGAGGGTCGGTTCTTACAGAACCATTCCCATCATCCTTCTCCTGGGGTAGGAACATCAGAAAACCCTCTGCCATTGAGTTGATTCTAACGCATTGCCGCCCTACAGGGCAGCGCAGCAATGCTCCCCAGCCTTTCCCAGACAGCACGTGTTCACAGGAGCCCCGTGCTCTTTCTTCCGCCAGGGAGCTAGAGGGGCGGTACAGTGGCCTGTGGTTAGCAAGCCGATGCGCTCCCCTCTGCGCCATCAGTAAAGGAGTGCTGTGGACCTGGACACACGGGTGTCCCCTTTGAAGCTCCTGAAATGTAATGGAGAAGACAACATTAGTGGTATCTGTCCTATAAACAGCTCTTGCTTGCAAGCGCTGGGGATAGGTATGAGGCCAGTGCTTCTCTCTCACACCCACACATAAAGATGCCTCCACCCAATCCCCAGGGTC